GTAAATAATTTTTCATTTTCCTAATACCTTAAACCTCTCTTTTTCACTTGACTAAGCCCTGGTTGTGTTTGTAAAATAAAATTATTCTTTATGGTATTTTGGAAAAGCTGCTCTTTTTTTWAAAAAAAACATTTAGATTTTTCTTTTTAAGCATGGTTATTCTAAATTTTAATTTAATTTTTRGTAAGCTATTATTTTTAATTTCAATGACTTTTGTGTTTCTTATCATAATTGTTGATCATGCAAATGATGTACAGGTAATTTGTAATCTACAGAATACAACATTTTTATAATACCTAATTAATTAATAAGTACTATTAATGTATTTAGTATTATTAACAGTGGCTATTAACTATCTACTCCATAATGCTTTGCGTAAAGTTTCTAAAGGGACTGTTGTCTAGTCAAGTTGATTCATCTGATTTATTATCATTACTGAATTTCAAGGTYCCTCCCCGTCCCCGTCAAAACCGTTCTAGTGTTCCTTTACTTGTCCCTATATGACCGAGCAATTATATGAAAAATGAGCTTATTATAGGCGTTTAATGTTAATGGCCAATGAGGATCCCTCTATAGATCTTTAATTTTACTGTTTGTTGATCTTTTTCGTTTTTTAATATTAATAATCTGCTTTAATTACTTAAATCTAATTAACCTTATTTATCTATCATTATTTGTAATTAAACTATATACTCTGTTATAAATGTTATTGTAATTATGTAATTTRTATACATTTTCAAAAGGGTTTCAAATAAAATAAAATAAAATATTATATGGTGCATACTCTAAAGAATAAAGATAATTAACACCCAAAACTTTTTCATTAAAATTGTTAAAATTATGCTGAATATACCCTCATCAAGTTTGATAGGAACATCTTTGATTATTAATGCAGTATAATAATTAATATTATATTTTATATTTTCTTATATTAGTTAACTATCTAACTAATAATWAATTAGAAATCTAAAAGTTACTTACAACACTCAACATAATTCTTTATCTGTAGTCAATTCCAATTACAATAAATCATAATAACAAAACAAATACATAMATTTAGTAAATAATATATTAATATTAATATACAGTACAATGATTAATAATAAATATTAGATATATTGTATTAATTAACTAATTAATATTAATAACATATGTATATAACAAATCTAAAAGTTACTTACAACATTCAAAATAATCCATTATCCRTTGTCCGTCCCAATTAAAATGAATAACAAAAACAAAACATATACACCCATACAATAAAAGTAGGTACCTATAATAAAGTACAGCTGTAAAATTATATATTTCATATTTTCATTAACAAACAAAACACACTTACGTTTCTTAATATTATTTTTTGAAGCTGTTGGTAGTGGCTTAACAGTTATAATATTTGAAGATTCTAACTCAGGGTCTGGCCAATAAAAAGTTAACGATGGCATAATGTAGGTATTTAATTTTACTTGTATTTTAGGTTAACCTACATATTAATTTTTTTTTAATGTGAAAATTTAAATAGTGTAAGTAATCAAAAACAAAAAAAAAAATGAATTAACCTTGGTATTGGGAATTAGTTAGGTATGCATTGTATTACATGGGGACTTAGAACTTTAGATATTGTAATTCGAAATCATTAGGAAATAGGATAATATTTACTTAGATGACTTAATATCACGGACTACTTACCTACTGTTGTAGTCCGTGCTTAATATATAGCAAAACTAATGAAGTAATGACTATCACTATTCTACCTACGTAAAAGTTGAATAACTCACGTTTTATTTCCTACGCCTTTCCATATATTATAATCAGATGATTTAAAATGATCAGAACAAATAACATGGTTTTTGTTTAAAAATCTAGAACCTTTAGATTTGAAAATATTCATAATTTCTGAGCTTCTACACCACTTGACCCATTTTTGACACCTAATATATTAATGTAGTATACAAAAATCGTAAAATGCAATTTAAAAATTTAAAAATATATTACTAAAAATAATATCAAACTATTCAGTCTACAATTATTGTTTATTTTTATCTAGAAGCATATGGTTCTATACATAATTATTTTAAGAAACTTACAATTCTTCATTAAATGGAAATCTATGAAAAGCTAAATTTGGATTTAATTTCCCTGTATTGTAACAATATTTTGTTGAACATGACTTTTTAGAACACATTTTTATTTTTCATAAGTTTCTATATTCTACAAAACAATTAATATTGATCTTTATATGAAAAAATAGTTGTTTTTTCTTACAGCCACTTAACACTTTGGCGGTATTTATTATATGAATTACGCCTTGGATATAAGAAAAAACAGTATAAGGGCTCCGTATTTCACAGCTGATTACCATTAACCTTCTCGTATTATATTTATAGACTTAGTACCTAATAACTAGTATTTGTCCACGGTCAGAATTTCGCCATTTCAGCACTCCGCGATAGAATTATACAGACGACCGTGATAGAAATTTCGGTATTCATGTCGTATGCACACTTGTCGTCTACCACGTATGTTTCTACACGTCATAATTATGCGGTCTACTGCCGCGTATCTATATATATTTT